GGTGTTGCCATAAAAGCCCAACGTTGTTAAAACTCTTTTTTTCTTCAAAGGTCATCAACACAAACAGGTCACAAAAATAATGTGCTTTTGCTTTTTGCTTGGCTTTTGCTATGTGACTCAATGTAGGCAAAATATTATTGGACACGTAGTGGACATAACGATCGTTTTGTTGTTGTGTTGTTCCTGGTCTTGTTCTTGTTCTTGTTGTTCTTTGACACGTTTTGGAGAAATCGCTTTTCACTTTGATTACTGGACCAATTGCTTTGAAATTTTCAGTGGTCGAAGATAAAATTTTCTCCAGAAGGATATTACTTTTTTTGTTATTGCTATGACGTCATCAAAATTATGTGTCCATATATTTGAGCATAGCTCTCTTGTTATTGTGTATAAACCTTGATATCAAATCATGATCAGACCACGATCTCATTTAACCAAAATGAGATGTCAGTCAGGCGTGTACTATAAATTACGATGTCTAAAACATACTTACATCAAAATTATATAGCTTGAATAGCTTCAAAATTAGGTCATGATTGGAAAATGATTTCATTCAATCACAACACTAAGTGTCCACCATCAATGGACGATCGAGAGCAATGCATGTAACGTTTTCTATTTGTCACAATAAGATAACTTGAATTCATTCAAAACGAATCATTATTTAAACATGCTTGATATTCCATTGTTAGTTAGACCTGTTCCACCTTCAATCAACTTGAGAGATATGTGGTTCAAATATACTGCAAATTCAATTCAAATATTTTTGGCGACGGTATCAGTTATTGTTATTTCTTTATGTTCTGACGCAGACCTGGCAGAAGTATACTGTATTTGTGATAATTTAGAAGTGTTCAGATATTTGTTTAATGATTCACTTAGATACTGAACATTAATGGATTCGTAATCAAAATTAAAAATTGGTTTCCAAATTCTCAAGATGTAGCCTACATGTAATATGTCTCAAGTAGTTAGTCTATTGTTATCTTATTCAAGCTAATAATCCGTTCTTATCGGGAATTATATTACTTCAATGGCATCCTATAAAGTCATTATTTGAATATTTCAATGATTTCATGAAGCTAAGTGCGTGTTAAGTATATAAAGTACATCTAACCAAATTAAATGACTTGAATACATTCAGAGGAGGTCATTAATGATATTTGCTAGTGCTAGTTTACCTTGACTCAATTATTTTAGACACTTTCAACACACTACAATTATCTCATGAGATGTGCGGGACATCAATGGCAAATTTGAGTGGTGTTAAACACATATTCTTCTGGTTACGCCATTTAAAAAGCAACGTAGTGACGCAATCTAACAGGTTACTATGAACCACTACTACCATCCAGTGGACGGTCGCTACGCCACCTGCGAGGGGAAAGATGGGGAAAAGTTTTAGAAAGTAAAAAGCGGACGTCCATTAAGTAGTTTGAATACCACTCTATAAACTGATCACCCATAATGGGAGTCGATTTTATCATCTTTAAGGTCAGTGTTACTCAACTGTGACGAAATGTTTTTTTTGCCATAAACAACCTACTCGAAGAAAGGGTTTTCTGATTTTACAGTTTAGGTAAAAATGCATTATAATCAACCTATTCCATATTTACGTGGTTATTTTTTTTTTTTTAATACATTACCAATTGTGTACTTACGAAAACGGATAAATTTATCGAAAATTACACATCTTTTTATACAACTTATAAATTAACCGATAAAACTAATTGTAAAATATTCAGATTAATAACCAGACGTAAGTTGAAGTTGGGAGAATCCCGTAGAATTTTGTTACTTATTGAACATCTTTTACAGTGTCCTCAACAGGAATATATATTTTTTTGTAAAATTGTCAGTCTGTAAATTTCATTATAAATTTGTTTAAACATCATTTTGCAAACGTCGAATGTTTTATTTACGACAGAACAAAAGTTTCTCCTTGCCTATGGCATAGTAATACAAATATGTTAATTAATCTCACTATAGGACCTGTGTGTCACCACTTGCATATACTGTATATATAGAGAGTCTGAGGTAATAACATCTTTTTAACTTAACATCAATTTTTTCCCACTTCGAAAATAATACAAAAGTTATATATATAAAGATAAACAAAGTTAGTCGTAGTTCGTGTAAAATCTAGAAATAGAAATGTAAAACATTCATGAGAGTTAATGATAGTCATTTAATAAATAAAATGAACTATTGAAAACCACACATAATAACAAATTGCACAAAAAGCCACAGAATCTTTTCATTTTAATTATAGCGTATAGTACGGACCTGTTATCGAAACAACCTCCCGTAGATTTTCTACTTAAAATATAGGATCCATGCCTTGCTTCGTATATTTAAAATGCAGTAATGGTCATATCGATCCCGTGTGTACCTAGTCTGAAGTTGCCTCAACTTGTATATTATAACGAGGGAGATCAGCACTGATTACAGAAAGTAAACTAGCATGAACCTGGCACTGCATTCCGGCATTGTGTAAATCGTCACCTTGAGCTTCGAACCATCCAATTAATTCAAAACCACAATGCTGTGTCAGAACCAACTTTACAAATTTACCCATAGCAAAATAATTCCGATTCAGATGAGGACCATTTAATAAATATTCTCTGTCGAATATTTTCAATCCTAACTTTCTACTGATATAAGTCGTGACGGTGTTGCTGGTGCCATCCAATTTAAGCGTGACGGCAGGAGCAAGCTTACAAGTACCAGAACTGCTGCTTGGGCAGTTTTTGCCGTAATGGCCATCGCATAAATCGTGTAGACAGAC